ACTCAATAAAGGCTTTTTCTCCCCCCCCCCAAATAAATATATAAAGGGAAAAATGATGCAACATTTTCCTTTATTCTCAACTTGTTTCATTCCTCTAAGCCCACCTTCAACACAGGTTTGTATTCAAATTACATCATCTCCTTGCCCACAATCTATCTGAATGCCCTTAAAGATAAAACTCACACTTTTTAGGGAGTATCTAAGAAATGACTGTTGGACCTTTACAATAACTTGAACAGGTTTAAGGCATCTTCTCTGCATTGAATCGGTAGTCATTATTCAACCTTTCTGTCTACATCATTGTAGGTGTTGGGCTATCGAACTACAACGTAACCTCTGCAGCTTCCCAGATGCCAATGGTATGCAAATAATATTGTATTTTAACATGTAAGTTTAGCATGTGGTTTTCAGAAGTTTTAATATGAAACATATGAAGCATATCACACCCAGATAACCTAATGTATATGGTAGTTACATGGAAATAGATTGAATATCTTTTCACCTTGGCTGAAAGACCTAGATTTGTTTTACATTTCTAAGATTAAACTAAATACATATGTAAATTTAGGGAGAATACTGCTAGGTAATCTTCAAGATAATGAAAAAGAGAACATTATGATTTTGTTAAAAAAATGATTGCACAAAGAATGTCTGACTAGGAAAGACTATCATATAATTGCCAATGAAGAAATCAGCATGATCAAGGGATAAAGCTTTTGAAAACCTCATCTAAATTCCCTATCATTACAAAGGAGTAAAAGACATTTTCAGCAAACTTGAGGCTATATTAATCAAGACAGTATTTTAGTGTTAAAACAATTTCTGAATTAAGTATAGCTTTATATTTTGTCATATACTTTAATGATTTGTACCTCTTAAAAGTTGTAGAGGCTGACATAATTAATAATTTAATTTAAGGACACTATTAAAAGGCCCATACCTCAGTAAGCTTTGAAATTGCTAATTGGGATAATAGGAAATTACTTGTCTTTTCCCAAATGCCAGTGAAGTAGGTCAGGATAATTAATATGCATGCTGACTTTTTAAAGAAAAACAAGACATGTCTCATCTGTGTAGTTTTAGTACAGTCTATTTCAGACTAAAATGTGTTCAACCTGAGAAAATTGTCACAGTGTGACTCTGTTAAATAACTGAATTTCAAAATAAGACAAGAGGTAGTTCAACCACAAGCACACAGATTGCAGTCTGTCCTATGGAAGGCTGAATTTCACATCCATGAGAAAATCGAAAGCTATTCAGGGTTATGAATTTAGATATGTTTTAATCCTGGAAGTTCATTGCAAACGTGTCATTTCATGTATAACATTACATGAGGTAAGACAATAAAGATATAAAAGGAGTTTGGTTAAATTATACTTCTTCGTGCTTAAGTTATAAAAAAATTTATATTTTCATGTTTTCTATTACCCATTTTATTCACTTGTCTAAACACTTCCTATTTTAAATGCTTAGGCAAAAAAAAAATGTTCAGATCCAGAAATATAACACTCAATTCCCTTGATCATGGTTAGTTACACATTTTCGTTAGTAGATCAAACAGAGTGATAGCTTCAAGCAGGATAGAAATGCTCCACTGAGAGACTTGGGGTTTTTCAAATTCTCTTTGCTTGTAAATCTGTGTGGCTGTATAAACGAATGCTTTGTGTTAGAGAATGTACATGTAAGTGTGATGCTGACATCACCACCACAGCTTCTTGTTCTGTGTATAATTTCTGCTTCTGGCATAATATCAAGCAGCCTGGCTTGAATAAGTAGCCTTCATGGTTATATAATGACCAATCCACACAAGGCATGATTATGACATCCTCTAAGTAGATCCTAAATAGTCTTTTGAAAAATGCTAACGGGGAGGAAGTCTTCCCCTATTAGGACATAAGGGGAGAAGATACATAGGGGGAGAAGACAGAGGGTGGGTAGGTAGGACTGCGAGGAGATGAGGGAGGGCACTATAGCCCAGATACAAAGTGAATAAATTGTAATAAATAAATAAAAGAACTGTAAAAAAAAAAAGCTTGAATGCATGTAAATCAGAAGGAAGGCAAGCACAGATGAAGGTGATACACACACACACACACACACACACACACACACACACACACAGCATGTTTCTAAAAAAAAGTGAAATTTTCCCAAATGAAACATTCATCATATATAATTCTAAATATTTAGAATGCAACAAAAATCCCTCATAATTAGAAAGGTGAACACACATTGCACTGACATGGTCTATGTTGCCTGCTTTTTGATCACTTCCCCCTAATGGGACTTTCCTACCAGGCCACAGGGTAAGAAGACTAATTCAGTCCTGGGGTGTCTTGGTAGGGGAGCTCCCCTATACCAAGGAATAGGGAGGGGACATGCAAGAAGCAGAGTAGGACTGGGAGGAAAGGGTGGAGGGACGTATGACCGAAATGTAAATTGAATTAATTAATAAAAAAGGAAAAACTAGGCAAAATGGAATGCAGTGCTGCCTACAGAACAGTTCGAAGAACAAGGAAAAATCAAAAGGGAAGATTCAAGGAGTACCCTGAAAGAAATGGGTGGGGCCTCAAAGATACTACCTAACAACTTTTAGTGAGGCAAATATTTTTAAATTTAATTAATTTATTTATTTATTCACTTTGTATCCCTACTGCAGCCCCACCCACCCTCTCATTCTCCCCCTATTCCTCGTCCCTAGTCCCCTGAAGGGGAAGACCTCTTCCCCCTCTATCTGACCTTAGCTTATCAGAACTCGTCAACACTGGCTGCATCATGTGAAACAAATCTTTCTGAGAGTGCATGGAATGCCTCACAGTATAGAGCTATAATGACAAAACATATAATACTAAATGTATTGACAAACAACTCATTAGAAGTGGTCTGCCTTGGCATGTTTATTTTGTAAAGAGCTCACTGAAAAAGATGGACAGTATCAAATAATTACGTGTTTAATAAACTGGAACCTAAACTTAAAAAAAATCCTACCAACACAAGTCTGAAAATAATCCTATACACAAAACAACAAAAAGAGGACTATTGAAGAAAAAAAAAATCCAAAACCATCTAACTAGAGATGCTCTATGGGCTTAGAACCCTGAAGAAAGGGCTAGTATCATGTTCTAGACATGACTGCTCCTTCCTAATTTGTCTCAAAATGATGAGTAGGACAAACTCTTAATAAATTACTTAAAAAAAGATAGCATTGATGACTCTGCCTATAGAATTGATAGAAAGTTTTCAGAACAGAATTTTCTATTTCAGAATTTAATATCTTTTAATTGGCTGAGATGGATTATTTTCCTTCCCCATTGTTTAAAAAATAATAAACAAACCCCTAATATTTATGTATAGCTGTTATAAGGCACCTGGATGAGAATTTTTCTAACCAATACTTAAAATTTAGAAAACTTTGTTAATTCTGCTATTCAATACAATATTAATCATGTATTAGGCTTGCTAAAACTCCTAGAAAAGCCTAAAACAAGTCCTAACTATTCTTTTCATAAATTTCTGATAGATATGGATATTGATATGGTTTGTAGGTGATGTGGTTTAGTTATCTTGTTAGCACTGGCAGTTATATCATTTGTTATGGTCTCATAGAAACTGTGGCTAAAATATGCTTTACACTGAGAATGTCTTAGTATGTGAATTTAATCACAATTGATTCTTATATTTTGTTGGTAAGAGATACAGAATTTTTATCAAGTCATGTGAGCATAACAAGCTCTGACGTTTAAGGAACCAAGTTTCACAGTGACATTAAATGTTTGACCTGTCGGTATTTTACAAGTTAGTTACTTGTAAGCTGAGTTGTTTTTATTTACTAGTAATAAAAAACTTATGCTAATGTATCCTATAGTCAAAGTCCTATATACTTGACTAATTTGGTGAATGTTACATATTATTTGTAGCTTCAAAAAGAGGAGTCTAATCCCTTAGAGAAACCAAAGTTTATTCATCGTTGGCTCTAGTCATCTGCACTAATTTACTTACATTTTTATAATGCTATTCACCTACGGTCTTTTCATTTACTTTTAGGACTTACAGCCAGAACTTTCATAATTAAAATAACTGAGTTACAGCCTTTGCCTTAAACATCTGCACCAGTGTGTTTCATGGTAGTTATAAACAGAAGCTTTGTATTGGAATGTTGCATAACAAACTTGATAGCTAGTAAATATGTTCAGCTTTTTTTTTTGTTTTTTTGAGACAGGGTCTCATGTAGCCCACATTAACTCTGAGCTTGCTATGTATCTGAGGATGACCTCAGATTCTTGATCTTTCTGCCTTTACATGCAAGCATATATATGTATGCATCACTATACCTGGATAAAAACATATTTTTAAGGTAAAGTACTCCAGAGAGCTACTAGAAGGTTACTGAATTATCCGTTTTTCTTTAGAGTTGATACCCATAAATAGTGTTTTATAATCAATGTACATAATAACAAAATAAATGGATGCTTTTGACAAATTGGTTTCTAGAAAGAGCTGAGAAATTTGGAATCACAAATGCATGCCAACATTTGCACATATATGCTTATATCTTTCTTTCACTAGTAGATTTAAAGGAAAAGGTAAAAAGAAAACACATTTTCCCAAGCAAAGTTTCATACAGCATTTGTGATTGTCCCTGTGTGTGTTTAGTTAATTCAATAAGGGCTTTGTTGACACCCTACTTGAAACATAATTTCTTTACCCAAACTTAGGGGGCATTTACTATGGACTGGCAAGATTGATGTCTAAAAGTGAGAAGAAAGTCAGAGAGAGAAACTAAAGAAATTAAAACTATTAGCCTTAAAAAGCAAGTGGGGAGTTGGGAGAAAAAGTACTTGTTCTAGTCATGTTTATCCTGACACTCCTGACACATAAGTTAGGGAGACCTAACTTCCTATCCAGCAAGACCATTTTTTTTTAAGGAAAACAACCTTCAAATAAGAAGCTGAAAAGCTATTGCTGTGTACACAGGCTAAGAATTTCCACAGACTACTTACTTTTCTCTCCTATGTTTTCCCCTGCTGTTTCCTCCTCCTCCTCTTCCTCCTCTTCCTCCACCTCTGGTGGCTGTATGTCATCTTGTGGGTCACAGGCACTAACTGGTGCATTCAGACAGCAGTGGTTGAACCCGCTGTCTCGAGGCAGAGTAAAACTTCGAGGCTTGCCCCCATTGCCATTTAACACTTGCATCCTCTCACTCTCAGCTAACGGGTATGGGCCATAATGATCCTGGAGGTGGCACTTCTGAGTTGGAAGAGTGGACTGTCGCCTGTGCTCGGGGGAGATGGCCGCCGAATCAGAGAAGACAGAATCTTCCAGTGGCAGAGTCTGAAGATAGTGTAAGCCTGAACTTGTCAGTGGTGTCTCGATTAAATCCTGCCAGGAGCGACGCTGACTGGCGGTCTTGCGAATGGGAGACACGGCACTGCTCCCAGTAACTTCCTGGCGAAACTCTTCATGTGAAGACTGAGACTGAGAGGTCTCTGTGGAGGAAAGCCGGCTGTGTTTTGCTTCCACGTAAGGACTGGCACAACTCATCTGTGGAAAGGAGCCATTCATCAGTTTCCACAGAATAAACAGACCATTTCAATAGTCAAAGAACTTTTTTTGCTTTTTAAAACAGAGTATTTACTTGGATGGAATCTTACACAGTCAAGTAACAACTGAGCAAGTTTGCAGACATCTCAAAGTTTAGGCCCCAGCTTACACTTAACAGAGTTAGGGATTCAAATGCCTTTAGTTATAAATGTAACAGTCGTCCATGAAATATCTGACACATTAGTACAGACCTGATAATAAAGAAAGTATGAGAAACTGTAGATGTTTATGTAAGAATCATTCAGCAGCTCCACAATTTTAAAATCTTTACATATTTTGAAAATCTAAAGAAATACTCCCCAGAGATTTCTATTTCTGGATTTTAGGCAGCTTAGGGCGTGAGGGAAAGAGAAAGGCTTTTTGTATGTGAGAACAAGTTGTTTATAAAAAAAGTAAACCTTCTGCTTCTTCATAGGCAAATGTCTGTTCCTATGGGTACCACAGAAAAGCTGCCTTGTGGTCTTGTCAGTTCTATGGTAATTTCTGAGGAACTGAAAGTATGGGTAGGATAAAATTATAGTTTATTGGGGAGTAGCATTTTCTGTGACTATTGACACCATAGATTACATAAAAAAAGAATATATTTTGTGCATGAATTTAATGTTTGGGACTATACATTATAGTGTAAAAAACAAATTAGAAGGAAGAATAGAATCTATTGATGCTGTAAATGCTGTGAAACATTTGCACTCTACTTGGTACAAGCCCAACCCCAGCTCTAGAGTCTGTAAGGCAATCCCAGGTGACTTTGTGCAAGGAGCTGCATTTGTTGAGCACAAATGGGGTTGAAATGTCAACTAAAACAAATGTGGCTGAGATGAACATGCCACCTCTTTTGGAGAAGGAAATGATTTCGCATCATCCATGGGCAGATTGTTACCTTCCAACATACTAAGCAGTGTGCTGAACAACAGCTTAATGATAAGAATATGAATAGTCTCTTTCCTAGATGCTACTATTGTGCAAAGAAGAAACAGGGACACATTAAGCAGAAGAATAGTAGAACAATGAGAGTGCAGAGGGAATACTGGGAATTGAAAGATTTAATTGGGAAGGGAGGCAGGAGGGTTGCGGAGAGTAGAGGACAGTGGTCGCATTAAGCAAAACTAAAGATCTATATAAAAAGCTATATGAAAACCTACTTCTTGGTAAGATAATTAAAAATAATTTAAAGAAAACGAAGATGTGTTTCTCCTTTCATCTTTTTAAAGACATTCCAAAGGAATTATTCAGATTCTGGTATTTTTAAAGAAATGGAAGTATTAATTACTTGGAATAATATAAAGAGGTTGAATTAAGTTGACTGTTGTCACATAAACTATCTTTCTTTTCCATTGTGGAAGACTAAGTCCCAAGATATAGAGTATTGATTATTTTGGTAACATGACCACTAAATTAAATGGAGACACTAACATTCAGTATTTCTGATGGGAAACAGACAAAACTAGCATAGTCTTTTAAAAAGTAGGATAATTATTTATCTCAGTAAAAGACTGAAGTATAGTTTATATATAGGAAGATTTATAGATGTAAGAATTCTGGAGCATCATAGATACATACATTAAAGCAGACATCATGGATATATAAAATGCCTCACCCAGCACACACACACACACACACACACACACACACATACACACACACATTTTGTGGTGTTGGGGAGTCAAACCTGGGGAATATGTGAGATATGTTCCTATGTGCTGGTTAATTATTATTGTTATTATTATTGTTGCTGTTATTATTATTGCTTAAAACTTGACACAAGCTAGAGTCTCTGGGAAGAAGAAATGCCACCTATGAAAATAGCTCCATTGTAGGCAAGTTTGTGTGGCATTTTTGTGATTAATGATTGATGTGGGTAGGGCCCAAGACACTGTGGGTGGTTCCACCCTTGGATAGATGGTGTTGAGTTGTATATGGAAAAAAAAAAAAAAAGCAAGCCAGTAAACAGAGTTCCGCCATGGCCTCTGCTTCAGTTCCCACTTCCAGGTTACTGCCATGCTTGACTTCTTGCTTTGGCTTCCCTCAATGATGGACTGTGATTAGGACTTTTAAACCAAATGAACTCTCTTCCTCAAATTGCTTTTTTTAATGACATTTTCTTACAGCAACAGAAAGCAAACTAAGATAGCATGTGATATCCATTACTGAGCTATACCTCCAGCTCTATAGTACTAATGTTTATCAGTTGTGTCTAAAGGACATAAAAAAAGAACTTTATTTATTCATACATCTTTTTCTAAGGACACTTTTCTGTTGCTCTAAACTCCTTTAAATCTGGAGAACTCATTCTGTCAACAGCTTGTGGTGATGTAAAAACACTCCCTGTAAACATAATCCTTTTTTTCTACTGATTTTTAGATCACAAACTTTCTTTTGCCTAAGAAATCTTGTTTGACATGCCATTTAATACACATTCATTTTAACATATAAGTGGATCTTTCCGGTCAATCCATCCTATTATGTACAAGCACACTCATGTTTAACTTACAGATGGAGGCCGTGGGTATGTATCATAGGGCGGTGGAGGACTGTCTTGTTTTGGTGTTGATGGAGTATCTGCTTCTTCTTTGTCACTTTCACTCCAGTAATCTGAAAGTTTACAGACATGGACATCTCAACCCTTATTAAGTATTTATAGCCATATTTCTCAAGAAAAGATAATATCACTTAAAAATTAAATTTCATTAGTACAGCATGTTTATCATCATTGCCCCACCCAAGAGTCATCAAGTTTCACTTTTAGCTGTTTTGGAGCAGAAGGAAGGACATAATAACAGAATCCCGATCTCATTAAAAATTAATGGCTCACAGCCAGCATTAATATAGCTAAGAAAAAGACAGTCTATAAGTCAAATTATGTTAAGGGTATATTTGATTTTAGAGCAAATTATTCAGCATTTTTAATTAATAAATTCCACAGGATGTTTTTTAAAGAATGTCACATTACCATGATGAATACTCAGAGAAGAAAAGTAATATACCATATGCTGCTGTGTATCTCTACTGATATAATCACCTCCAAAATTAATGTTCTAATTTCTTTTTCTTTCTGGCGTCAGTGCACTGGTTATCTAACAATTGCTGTTTTCTAGAGTCATGCTGACATGAATCTTTATAACACCATACTCCCACCTCTCCTTAGAAAGACGTGGCAAACCCTAATCTTGGCAAATGCAAAAAAAAAAAAAAAAAAAAAAAAAAAAGCACACCTGCTGAAGTGAGCTACAAGTACCAAATTTTCAGAACAACTTAAAATGGTAGGAAATGTAAGCTGCTAGACAAAGTTACTTGGCAGACCTGAGGCAAGATGGGAGATAAAGAACTCTGAGAGGTATATTAATATTGTTAGTCAAAGCCAACAGAACATCAATAATCAGAATCAATTTGACTATATTTCAGATATAACTGCTGTATTGTTCTTTATGTGAGTTGTAAGCAAAGACCCAGGATGATTAACATAGCAATTTCAGATGAGAGAACAGGTATTAAAAGAAAAGGAAATTTATATGAAAATTTAGATCTCCAAACAACTACCACAAGGCTCAAGTAGTAGGCAGATTCAAGTGAAAAAAGTCACAGTACCTATTTTTGTAAGATCCCTTCTCTTTCTGGAAATTCTTAATTGTAATGTTTTTTTCGATGGTGCTGTCAAAAAGTGAACACAGCTAACATTTTTTTTTTTCAGAAATTGTTACACTCCGGGTAGGAAATAATGGAGATTCTTTGAACTAAGGAATTGGCTTGACCGAAAACTCTGAGACTAAATTTCTGGGACTCTTGCTTGAAACATTAAGAAAGTTTAATATTAAGTACAGTGTTATTATTTAATCTCCCTTACTTACTCCTGAGTTTTAACTCTGGTTACTGTGAACAGAAAGTCTCTAGCAATGGATACAGGATATAAAATAAACTGCTTATTCTATCCAGGCCTTAAAACACAAGGTCCTGACAATCCCTACTGAGAAAAAAAATAAAAAGTGTCTAATTATTCTTTTTTTTCTTTCAATATTTTAAATTTTTATTGAAATGTATTTTCAATTTTTTCTCCACTCTTTAGTTAAGAAACATCTAGTTTGTTCCCACATTCTGGCTATTACAAATAAAACAGCTATGAACATAGTTGAGCAAATGTCCTTGTGGTATGTTGAAGCATCTTTTGGGTATATGCCCAAGAGTGGTATAGCTGAGTCTTGAGGTAAAACAATTCCCAATTTTCTGTGAAATCACCAGACTGATTTACAAAAATGGTTTTACAAGTTTTCACTCCCACCAGCAATAAATGAGTGTTTCCCTTGCTCCACATCCTCGACAGCATGTGTTGTCACTTGAGTTTTTTATCTTAACCATCTGACAGGTGTGAGATGGAATTTCATAGTCAATTTGATTTGCATTTCTCTGATGACTAAAGATGTTAAACATTTCTTTAAGTGCTTCTTGGCAATTAGAGATTCTTCTGTTGAGAATTCTGATACTCCAGCCAAGGACCACTCATAGAGATGGCCTGGAATCCCTGCACAGAGGTAGCCTATGGCAGTTCAGTGTCCAAGTGGGTTCCATAGTAATGGGAACAGGGACTGTCTCTGACATGAACTCAGTGGCTGTCTCTTTGATCACCTCCTCCTGAGAGGGGAGCAGCCTTACCAGACCACAGAAGACAATGCAGCCACTCCTGATGAGACCTGATAGACTTGGATCAGAGGGAAGGGGAGGAGGACCTCCCCTATTAGTGGACTGGGATAGGGACACAGGTGGGGAAGAGGGAGGGTCTAATTATTCTTAATTAGATTTTTATTTAAAAAATAATGGGGAACTTGTCATGGGAGCACACAAGTATAATTCCAGTACTCAGGAGGCTGATCCAGGATTTTAAGTTTGAGATGAGCTTGGGTTAACATAGCTAACTAAACCACAAAAAGCCCAATGGAAAATAATAATGGAGATACTGGATAATGATCACAACTATAACTAAGTGTTCCCCCAAACATGAATTTACATAAATGCCCAGAAATGGGTCTAGTAAATGTTGGTGGACAAAGCATGACTGATGTTCAGAAGGTAAAGGTAAAGTTCTTCACCACACAACTTAATACATCTATGCTCTTATAGGCATTATTTAACTTCGTTGGATCTATTTTATAATCTGTAAAAGAGTAGCTAGTAAAAAAAAATAAAAAAAGAGTAGCTAGTAATAATAACTGACTTTTGTAGTTGTGTACATGGGAGTATCATATATTTAAGTGTTTTATACCTTGAATTTATCTTCTTGGGCATCGTTTCAGTTTGGATGCCAGGACAGTCTGACATAGATCACAAAGGCAGTAAATGCCTGACGTTCATTTTCACAGACATTCTTTTTTGTAGCATTTTTGAGCAATAAAAGAATGAAACTTGGAGTCTAACTATAAATCAGTTCCCATTCATTACTCTGTCCACTCCCTACTTAATGCTTCACAGTTTTTAGTTACTACTTTTCTATTTATAACTTCAAAGAGCTATATTTTATATGAAATTTAACTTCAGTACTAAGAATTATACTCAGGAGATGTCAAATAACCATAAAAGACCAAGGGAATTAATCACATATTAAGTAGGAAATCTAAATGTTTCTGACATATGTTAAAGTGCCTTTTCGCTCTGTGGAAATAGCAAATATTATCATCTGCCTATGAGTTTTCTACCAAATTTAGTAGGAATTAAATATATATGTACAGAGCAAGGCACTGTGTAACCACAGAATAAATATTCTTTGGAATTTGCACTTGCAATATAAATTAACCTGTACTTTCATCCACAATGAAACTTAGTTCCACAACAAAAAAGATTCTTTAAAATCAAGATCATGCTTAGCTTCAAAGCAATATCAAGTAATAAAATTCTGAAGCTTGAAAATATAGGTTCTGTGTTTTATACAACTTGATATTTTTCCAGATTAATTTTTCCTATCTATATATTTCCCATATTTCCAATTCTTATATCTTTAAACAATCAGGTAAAAACACCTTTACAGAACTACTTTACAATGTTTCAAGAAATTTGAAAGGGAAGGTTAGTACTTTTTTAGTACTCTTAGCACAAATGAAGGTTTATAAATCACATCCAGGCATAAAAAGGTGAGGAAGTTTAAGCCACTAAGACACATTTACTACCAAAAGTTTATACTACATTCCCTTCCCGGAAGGATTCTGTTTATCCTCCATTTCTGGAACTTGTTTTGTATGTTATTATGTTTCATGTTCTTTATTGCACTAACAATAATTATTAACAGAACCCAGTATAATTGCAGTGTAGGTGCTTACATTTTCACACAAGGGCACCAATGAGGGTCTTTTGCAGAAATAATTTGATATTTTATTAAATATTGTATCTTTCTGTCCATGATCAATATTATACCAAGATTCATTGGTTATTCTCTTCAAAAGAAATTTCTTTATTAGCCGTCTTTTTATGCAAGTATAATACATTTGTAAAATAAAAGCCATTGTCTTTACCTTGTTCTTGTTTAATCCTCTCTCTTTCTGCATATCCTGCAGTCAGCATGTTAATTCTATTAAGCCACCTGGAAAAATAAAGAAAATAACCCAATAATTTATTATACTTGTTAGAAATACTTACTGTTATATATAGGAAAATATATAACAACCTTTCATATGAAATATGTTCTTTATTAAACTGAAAAAATTTGCAGCCTTCAACAATAGACAATAATCTATGTAGGACAAATTGTTCTCACATTGAAGATCTAATTCCAGTGGAAGTATTATGTAAAGCTGTTGATATGTGCAATATAAAAGGTTTTGAGATGACCAAAGCCATATCAATCTTTTCTTTCAAATGTATACACTTCAAATATGTCTGCTCTTCTGTATTTTTTTTTTTCAGAACAAACTCCTTTGGAGGCACACATAATAGCCAGTCTAATGTATAGAGATAAGAAAAAAAAAGTTATAGATCTTACCTGTATAAAATAATAGTTTTACTGTGAAATAACAGTTTTGCTTATGCTCATTTAAGTTGAATGAGTCAAGGGGAATCACATGTCAGAAATACTGTAGAAACCTTTTTTCTAAACACAAGACTATACAGCTCCCCAAAGATAAAAAGCACATATGTAATTTAACCTCTATTATGATCTAGAAAATATATTTCCAGTTAATTTCTCTTAGTTTTCTTTCTTCAGTAAGTATTGCTGCCATTATTATTGTAGCAACACACTCTTAGTTCCTTTGTTTAATTCTACCAGAATGTTTGTGTATGCGACATTTCAACCATTCATACTGCATTAGATTATCAGATCACAAATTTTTTTTTAACAAACTGACAATCTTCCACCTGGCAATTCTGAACAATGTTCCATACATTTTCCTCAAACTGAAATTGGGGAGAACTCACATTTCAAACTACCTTAAATAATTTCAGAATTATTGTTACAGTTAACACCACTAAATTATAGACTAGACTGATCTGGATGTATTTTAAAGAAACTTGTGTTTGAGAATTTTTCTCCTCTATCTTTTATCCCATTCAACTAGAAAATAAATTTGCTTAACTGACTTACAATTTCAGTTTTCCAAGTGGTGTTATTTGTGTATCATACACCTAGTAAATCTTGAAGAGAGGAAAGTTATATTTCTGATGGGCACCTATTGAAATCTAAGCTGTAATTTTTAAAAAAGTAACTTAAGTCCAAACCAGCTCAGCAAAGCATATCATGTAGGTCTCATCTTAAAGAATATATGGGAAGTGAAGAAAGGAAAAGAGTCCTATCAGTATAGAATAAAATATTTACAGGAATTCAATAATATATATTATATTTTATACACTCACTCCAGTAGATTATAAATCATAAATCAAGAAGTCAACTTCATGATAAAACATTTGAAAATGACTAATTATTAGCAAAAGATCAAGATAAAAATTTAATATATAGTTCATTGATCGTAAAAAAGGGGATGAATTTGTATTCCAGGGAAAATTCAACCACTCGGGAAAGAGTAGACAGGTGCTGTTAGGTGACAAGGATGACAATAACACTAAAAAAAAAAAAAAATCATCATTGACATTTAATGTAGTTGAACCTTTAATCAGAATTCTAAAGAAAATGAAGGTTCCGGGGGGGTGAATTGAGCAATTTTCAGTTTATCATTTATTAAATATCTATGTTTAGCAACAAACTATGTTTTAGAGATACAGAAATATATAAGGCATAGTCCTTGCCTTCACTGGACTCTAGATTGGTAAAATTCCTAAGACAACTGAAAATTCAATCTACTATTAGGAAAAAAATTCTGTTCATAATAAAAACCCTTTATAAAGTGTATGGATATTCTCTGGCTGCTGTGTATGTCCTAAAAAGACTGAATACTGCACAGATGTTGCTGTATCTTGGATATACTTGTTTTTTTATTTAATTTAATTTACATATTTATTTATTTTTTATTACAATTTATTCACCTTCTATCCCTACTGCAGCCCCCTCCCTTATCTCCTCCAAGTCCCACCCACCCTTCCTCTTCTCCTCCCGTGCACCTTCCCCAGTCCCATCAGTCCACTGATGGGCCTCCTCCCCTTCCATCTGAACCTAGTCTATCAGGTCTCATCAGGACTGGCTGCATCATCTTCCTCTGTGGCCTAGGAAGGCTACACACCCCAGGGGGAGGTGATCAAAGAGCAGGCCACTGAGTTCATGTCAGAGAGAGCGTCTGTTCCCTTTACTAGGGAACTCACTTGGAAACTGAGCAGTCAATGGGCTTCCTTTGAACAGGGATCTAGGTCCTCTCCATGAATGGTCCTTGGAGTATTGGTCTCTGCAGGGCCCCTTGGGCCCAGGTATTTTGGTTCTGTTCTCCTTGTGGAGTTCCTGTCCGGTCCAGGTCTTTCTGTCACCCTCTTCTTCTAAGGATTCTGGCACTCTGTCCAAAGTTTTGCTATGAGCCTCAGTATTTCTTTCGATATCCGATATACTTGTTTTCAAGCTCTAGATGGAAGAACCTCACTTACTGACATACTTGGCATAATTATGACTTGATATCTTAGGTTATGAAAGCAACTACACATGAGTTAACTGATTCCAGAGGTATTTACTGAGCGCTTCTATGTGCCAGGGAGGGTTCTAGGCACAAACAATATGAAGTATACGCAATAAAGTACCTATCTTCATGATGCCTGTGCCTTAACAATGGAGGCAGATAACAAAATATGTATATAAGTAAGCATGCCATCTGTTAAATCAGGAAGAAAGGTTAAAATTTAGAATGTTACGGTTTCTAGGGAGTAGGGAGTCTATGTTAGTTAAGGAGGTCAGGGACACATGGATTCAATTTAGAATCTTTTCAACATCACTGATGTGGAAGGTCTTTAATAGTAGTCCTAACTTTAGTACCTCATCATATTCTAATGCTTTAGAACATGAACATATAGGTAAGGGAATATGCTTAGAGTGACACAGACTAATAAGCCAAGAGAGAAACACAGAAGGAATCATGGTAGAAATATAGAATACTAACTAAAAATACAAATTAGTAATTCCCCACAATTACAAGGATGCACATACACATTTAGAAAAATGCATATATCAGTGTATACAGATTTTATGGGAAAACTAAATATAAAGAATTTTTAATACTCTAATTTTTTGGTCCTGTTACTACTGGCATTACATATTTTTTTACTATACAAGGCATACTTCATTTTATTTTATATAATAACTTTTATTTTTTTATATTAATCACAGGTTACTTTGTATCCCAGCCATAGTCCCATCCTTTATTCCCTCCCAATCCCTCCCTCATCTCTTCCCTGCCCCTTTGGCATTACATATTTTAAAATCTAGAGTAAAAATGTATATTATTCAGTACTATGGTATAATTTAATACAAAATAGAAATAATAATGGCTTTAAAGTCATAGATTAGTCAGATAAAAGATATTGACTATAATTATGCTTATTCAAAAATATACCTCTATTTGAATTAGGCATGTTTTCCAAGATTACATATGGAACAAATCAATACTCACATTATCTTGTTATATGTAATAATTATGTGACCAAATAAATCTATATACAGGTATCTTTCCATATCACTAATCCTGTGTGAATGCTTTTGGCACTTATTATTTCATACTGTTAACGAGTATTTTTAAACTGCTTATTGAATGTAAATACTAGGAATAAAATCATTAAACAAGAAAAAAACAAAAGGAAACAATAAAGATGCATATAAGTTAATTTTTAAAATTCATATTTTTATATCTGTAATTCTGAGATATATAGTATACTATGGCAAGTCTTACATAAAACAAGACTTGCAAATATACAATGTGGTGCTGACATTTTGGATTAGATGCTTCTTTGATTCACTGCTTGAAGTAAGGAAACGATTGACATGGGTTTGGCTTAGTTTCTTCTTTTCTCATATGGCATTTAGAACCATAGAATTATCAGGGAAGAACAGTGATATCACCATCCTTTTGAATATACTGTGAAAACATAGAATAGCAAATGGAGACTAAGAAAGGTTTTACAGTTGATAAAAGTGCATGGACACTGTCTAAGCCAAAATGATTTGAATTAGCATATACCAAAAAAAAGATTAAGTTATTTTAATTCTTAAAGGGAGACAACTGGTACCTAATACATTCATCTTGTAAGATAAGAGCTACTCATTTATATCACTTATTCTTATTTTGGTTATAAGGCAAACTTCATATTTATCCTCAGAAACAGAGTTTATCATTTGGCTTAATAGATAGCTTGGGAATAGAACTATAGAGTTACAGATATTTATAGCACCAAAAATAGAGAACCATAATCTTCCATCATATACATACAGGTGAAGAAGCATTTTCAGTTTTAGAGTAAGAAGAAATCTCTGAAAATTCTTAGTGCTGCTAAGAAATTTTAAGAATAATAAATTGTATAAATCATGGATAAGGACATTTACTTTGTTTGCCATTTCCTTTCATATATCTCTGCTTTTCAGAAACCGGGGTTGTACTTCCAGTTGTCAAATAATTTATTTATAAGAGTAGCTTAAGTGTACATTTCCCGAGCTCAAGCATATTTACGAAGCAGCATATTTTGTGCTTAAAATGTGTGGATACCTTGTTTTTGAGACATCTAAATAAAAACAAGTGAGGTAAGAGAACAAATATATTTACTACCTGAATAAGTCGGATTTTGTGCACCTTTTTTCATATCTAGAAATACATGTTAAGGCATATTCTTAAAATGTAGTACCATAAAATATTAAAAATGTTATTCCTTATTATTATTTAAATATAAATTGTATTATGTGCTACAAAATTCAAAACACAAATTAGCCAAGTATCATTTCTTAAAATTAGGTATGATCATGTGGAACTATAGCTGGACTACCCAATTTTTAATTAATAAATGTAGAATCTACAATGAGATTCTCCAAAGATTACTGAAGAAGAAGCTTAGAGCTTGAGTTTTAGGACTTATTAACTAAGTCATTTAAGAAGTAAATAGTACTTTACCTGTTCATGTCGTCAAGGTGTTCAGCAGCAAAATAAAAGCTTTTGATCTTAGGATGGCAGGCTTTGAATGCACTGTGAATAAAACCATAACAAATAAGGTATATTTACTTTTTTAAAAATTGGAAAAAGGTTATAATTCAAATACTTTTCAAAAATTTTATTAGAGTTGGGAAAGGGGAAATAACATGTTCAAAATGTATTGTATGAAAAAATTCCAATTTGCAAACTGGGTGTGGCAAATGCCAGCAGTTGGGAGGCAGAGGCAGGTAAACCATTGTGAGTTGGAGGTCAGCCTGGTCTACATAGTGAGTTCCAGGACAGCCAGGGCTCCATAGCGAGACTTTGTCTTAAAAAAATTCTATGCTGTTTATTATTAACATCATCATTACTGTTGTTTGTATGTGTGTTCATATGCCAGAGAAAAATTTTGGGGAGCTGTCTCTCTATCCACGGATTCCAGGATTGAGTTCAAATCATCAAGCTTGCATGTAAAGCGCTTTATCTTGTTGCCTCAAACTAAATAACTTTTACGGATAAAATTATCCGTAATGCAATGTCTAACCAAAATTCACATACATAAAGCTTCTGTCATAATGACAGGAATCAGTAAATTACATGTTATGTCCTCAAAAATGCTTTCTTATATTGTCAGTTTGCAAGCATCAGATAAACAACTTACAACTTAAAATCTAGCAAATTACAAAATAAATTATCCCATCTCCCTCCCTGCCCCAAGTAAAATTAACTTACTATTTCTTGCGGCATTCACTGGCTCTATCAATTTTAAATTCAGGCAGACTGATGAATCCTTCTGCTTTTTCATCCTAAAGAAGGAAGATTTCTGTTTAGGCTATCACAACAAAGAGGTCTGAAGCTAAGTATACTGCATAAGTATGACTGAGATATTTAGAGTAATAAATGTGCTATGCATTTAGATCTTAATTCTGTTTATGTTCCATAAATTATCCATACTCATAAATCAAAGGAATATTTTGAAAACTTGGATTTTTTACAAATTAATACATATATAATTTTTATATTAATATGAGATATAAAATAATTTGCAAAGTAAAATATATTTTTATAAAAATTTTGAGGGCTACAGAAGTAAGTCAGTGATAGAGTACTCATTTGTGAAGGATGTATTGTGCTCTGGGTTTGATCTTTAGAATTTAAACAAACAACAACAAAAATAAAAAACAAAAACAACAACTAAAAGACAAAAGTCACCACAACAAAAAATAAATAAATAAAAGAAAAGAACATTTCAGGCCAGATATACAAAATTATTGCACATTTTTAGAATAAAATTTTCTAACGTTTAAAAAAGATTGGTAGACAGGCTTGGTGGCACATGTCTTTAATCCCAGCACTGGGGAGTTAGTGGCAGGCAGATCTGTGAGTTCGATGCCAGCCTGGTCTACAAAGCAAGTTCGAGGGCAGCCAAGGCTACACAGAGAAAGCCTGTCTCAGAAAACCAAAACCATAACTAGGCCAAACCAAATAAAAAAGACTGACTTATTTTGATGTGTATGAGTGTTTTGTCAGAATGTATGTATGATTATCATGTGTGTGCTTGTTGCCTAACAGAGGTCAGAAGATGGCACTGGATTCCAGGAAATGGAGTTAACAGATGGTTGTGAGCCAGCATGTGGGTGTTAGTAACAGAATTAAGTGAAAGATCTCTCCAGCCAAATTTTCTTTTCTTTTCTTTTCTTTTTTCTTTTCTTTTCTTTTCTTTTCTTTTTTTAAAGAGAGAAAAGAATGGTTTATTTGAGGGTTTGGAGGGTAGAAAGGGTGGGGAATTATACTATAATCTTAAAATTGCAATTATACAATAACCTAACAGAATAAGAGTAATTCATACATATGCATACATAATTGTCTCCTCTAATAGCCCCTTTCTTCCTCCTGTACCTTCCATGTCTGTACCTTCACCTCTGTCCCAAATTTGTTGTCCTAGGTTTTGCTCTAATAATCATGAACTCGCTCTCTATATTGTCTTGGCTATGTTTTCATTACTGTGCATGGTTTCCTTTCTGTTAGGCAGGCCTTAAACTTCATAAAGTAGAGTAAGTAAGCATTTTTACGCACTTGGGGATCTTTGTGAGCTGCCTTGTCATATCATTGATGTTTTTCTGTGAGTTTTTTTTTGTAGCATGTATGAAAAGGTGCTGACTCAGGCACAACATTGCCTAGTTTCAAAGACTACTCTCCTCACTGACATAATGGCAAATTTTCTATCATTGCTAATCTTTAGATAAAATGTGCAAAGTTGATTACCAATTTAAAATTTCATTTCTTTATAATAATTTGCTTATCAAATTTGAATACATTTTGCCATATAACAATTATTTTGTGAATTCAATAGTTTAGAAATTAAGTAGGTCAATGTAATTTTCAAATGTTTATGTGTAGCTTCAGATACACCACACATATGTACAGACATCATTTTTCATCTGAAAATTTTAATAAAATTAATCAATCCTCTCTTCAATACTGGTTAATAAAACAAGGTAGATTATGTTTGTGACAAGTTAAATCAAGTACAATGTGATTAGCTGGCTAAATTTTCAGTCACTGTGCCCCTTGTCCTGATTACAACAAAGCTTCATAGACATTTACCATTCAAAACTTTTATTTGATCTGCTAAATCAGCCCTTAACTACTTATATATCAAATTTAAGTAAGATTACTCTCCTTCTTACTATTTTGAAGAAAATAAGTTACTATCAGTTCTCTTTCTATGTATTTATGTATGTATAGACATGCATTTGCATTGTTTCTGGTATTAATGAACTTAACAGCAAAACTTAAAATATCAAAAATTGTGAGCTATAGTGACTGAAATTTGTACGTTATATAAAAAAGTAGCATAACATTTTTGTTTTTATATATTTTTTCCAATCTTGGGTTAAAGGAAAATGTTTTCCTCTTAGAGTACTATTTTATGTTGCTTTTAACCTCTTTAATTTAAATGTGAAATATTTTTGAAATATTATCTCTTCATAATGATAAAATAACAATAAGGTTTTCCTGGCAATACATTCTACAAAATTATTCATTTATATTTTATATGGCTAACAGTAATGATAAGTTGCCAATGACTGAAATACAGGAAGTATTTAATAAAGGAGGCAAAGATTTTCATCTCTTATAGTTTAAAAGACAATATAATTTAGACAAAACTATATATGAATTCATAATAAGGAGATATTATATCATGATACTACTTGACTAGCATATAGAATACAGTATATCTATCATTTGTATCTGCTTACTATATTTACATCTGCATTTATATTTGTTTACTATAACTAAGCAAGATATACTTAGTGAAATAGATTTTATTTTATGTATTGATATATGATTGTCACAAAATATCAAAACAAATATTTTTACATGAGTCTATAGGAAATTATTAATTTAAGATTTTCCAAATAAGTCTATTACTGAACATTACTTGAACACTAAGCTTTTGTAGAGATAGACATGAATCAATAACTGCAAAAACACTTTGAACAATGTCTTACAAAATGCTTAGTGAGATGTGCACCTTTGTTTTCATTTTGCAATGAAGTCAGATGCACAGCCAGTCAAGGAGTGCAATTCCTGAGTCTGTCTTTACTCATGATGTAAAACAGCAGTATAATAGCTTATTAAGGAACATCAAATTCTCGAGATACTGTATGTTACAATCGAAAGTCTAAAAATAACAGTAACTTTTGACAATTACTCTTCAAATGAAAACTGATTAATATCTTAGGATATTATTTTCATAAGATCTACAATTCAACACATTCTAAAAGCCAAAATTACTGTTTAAAAAGTCAAATAAAGCTGGATCTTTTTTCCAAATTTTAATTTTTTATATTAATTACAGTTTATTCACTTTGTCTCCCAGATGTAGCCTTCCTCCTGGACTCCCTCTCAATCCCCACCCACCCTCATATCCTCCCTGTCCCTCTCTAAGTCCACTGGTAAGGGAGGTCCTCCTCCCCTTCCATCTGACCCTAGCTTATCAGGTCTCATCAGGACTGGTTGCAATGTCCTCCTCTGTGACCTAGCAAGGCTGCTCCTCCCTCGGGGGTGAGGGGCAAGGAAGTCAAAGAGCCTGCCATTGAGTTCATGTCAGAGACAGTCCCTGTTCCCCTTACTAGGGAGGCCACCTGGATACTGAGCTGCCATGGGCTACGGGTGAGCAGGGGTTCTAGGTTATATCCATGCACTGGCCTTGGTTGGAGAACCAGTTTCAGAAAAGACCCCTGTACCCAGATATATTTGGTCCTTGTGGAGCTCCTGTCTTCTCCAGGTCATACTAACTCACCCTTCTTTCATAAGATTCCCTGCACTCTGCCCAAGTTTTGATTATGAGTCTCAGCATCTGCTTTGATACACTGCTAGGTAGTCTTTCAGAGGCCCTCTATGGTAGGCTCCTGTCCTGTTTCTTGTTTTCTCCTACTTCCAATGTCCATCCCATTTGTCTTTCTGAGTGAGGACTGATCATCTCACCCCAGGTCCTCCTTCTTGTTCTTCTTTAGGTGTACAGATTTTAGTATGTTTATCCTATATTATATGTCTAGTATCCACTTATAAGTGAGTATATACCGTGTGTGTCTTTCTGCTTCTGGGATACCTCACTCAAGATGATTATTTTCTAGATCCCACAATTTGCCTGCAAATTTCATGGTTTCCTTGTTTTTAATTGCTGAATAGTATTCCATTGTGTAAATGTACCACAATTTCTGTATCCATTCCTCCGTTGAGGGACAGCTGGGTTGTTTCCAGGTTCTGGCTATTTTGAATAAAGCTGCTACAAACGTGGTTGAGGAAATGTCCTTGTATACTTGAGCATATTTTGGATATATGCCTAGGAGTGGTTTAGCTGGATCTTGAGGTAGCACTATTCCTAATTGTCTGAGAAAGCGCCAGATTGATTTCCAAAGTGGTTGTACAAGTTTGCACTCCCACTAGCAATGGAGGAGGGTTCCCCTTTCTCCACAACCTCTCCAGCATGTGTTGTCACTTGAGTTTTTTATTTTAGCCATTCTGGTGGGTGTAAGGTGAAATCTCAGAGTTGTTTTGATTTGCATTTCCCTGATGGCTAAGGATGTTGAGCATTTCTTTAAGTGTTTCTCTGCCATTCAGCATTACTCTATTGAAAATTCTCTGTCTAGCTCTGTACCCCATTTTTTAAATTGGATTATTTGGTTGGTGGCCAACTGGCAACTCATTCTCCATGTGGATCTCTGGGTGAGGGGATCAGGTTCTGCTTCTATCATGAACTCAGTTGACTTCTCTTTGATCACTAGTCCCTGATGATGCAGCCTTGCCAGGCCATGAAGGAAGAGGATCCAGGCAGTCCTGATGAGACTTGATAAATTATGGGCAGATGGCAATAGTTGAGAACTCCCCTTTTCAGTGGACTAGAGGAAAGAGATGGGGGAAGAGCGAGGGAGGATGGAACTGGGGGATTTGAGGGAGGGGGCTTCATCAGGATATATAATGAACAAATTGTGAAGAAAAAAACTAAAAATTAAAAAAAAAATCAAATAAAGTAACGTAATAGATAGGCACAGAAAACAAGTCAAAACAGTGTCAAGGGGAAAAAATCAGTCAATAATGATTGACTGTAATATGATTAGTCAATTTCCAAGTATGTTTTACAAAAAAAAAAAATAACAACCCTAAAAGGCATAGGGGGAGAAGAGAGAGGATGGTTGGTACTGGGAGGAAATGAGGGAGGGGGCCACAACTGGGATACAAAGGAAATAAATTGTAATAAATAAATAAACAAATGAATGAATAAATAAATAAGCTGTGGGAAAAAACTAGAAAAGTCATAAGAACAATTAAAATATATTACACATGTCTCTCCCCTCAAGTTGGCCAAATATAGTGGATATTTGTAATTTTCAAAATTAGCCTACTAGTTCATTTCTTTTTCTTTAGAAGAAACTGAATTGAAACAATACTGAATTACTCAAGCTGCTAAGTTGTTCCACCTCCCAAACAGAAACAGAAAAATTCTATAAAAGTTTGATCAGGAGGTTTTAAAAATCTATATGCTTTCAGTTAAATGGCTATATTGGTTGCTTGGTATTTGTAGAAACAGGATTTCACTACTTTTTAACTGTGTTTCAGATACGTTGCTGCATTAGAAAAATGAACGTTGAAAATAGATCTTGAATTGGCCTGTGGGTGCTATGATTTAAAAACCAATGGTTCAAATGTTGAGACTTGTGGTCGAGATACTAAATGGGTGAGAGTACACATTGCTCTTTGTCTTACCTCTTCATTAATATACCAGTATAGGGATGCATCCTTTAGGACAAACCAGTACTTCTTCCATTTCTGCGAAAAATAGCTCTTTGCATCTTTCTTTTTCCAAAGCCACCCTTCACAGTCACCACGGCCAAGATCCTTGCAAGAGATTCTTCTTTTGCTCTTGCCTGCTATAGCTCCTAAAGATAGTGAGTGGTAATGTTCTTTAAATTTTAAAATCTTTAAATTTTTAAACACTTTCTTTAAATGTGTTTTTTAAAAACACATACAAATAAAAGATTAATCCATAGATCCTAAAAGCAAGTCAGATACTTACTATTCTTAAAGTTATCACTTCCAATTTTTAACTAATTTATTTTTTTATTGATTACAGTTTATTTACTTTGTGTCCTAGCTATAGCCCCCTCCCTCATTCCCTCCTAATCCCACCTTCCCTCCCTTATCTCCTCCCATGCCTCTCCCCAAGTCCACTGATAGGGAGGTCCTCCTCCCCTTCCCTCTGACCCTAGTCTATCAGGTCTCACCAGGAGTGGCTGCACTGTCTTCCTCTGTGGCCTGATAAGGCTGCTCCCCCTTCATGGGGAGGTGATCAAAGAACTAGCCAATAAAGATGTTTTTTATGCCTTTTTCTTCACATAAATGATGACATAATCATAATTAATAACAATTAATTAATTGATCACTATTCTCATCTCAAGACTTTTGGAGACCATTAGTTATCCAATGTATCTGCACGGTAAGCGATGGTAAGTAATCCGAACCCATACTGGCTTCAAGAAGATTAATGAAATGTGCTGGTGATTATCACAGTACAAAAGAAGGAGGTTAAAGGTTCATTTTTTATTACCTTTGTTTTTCTTCTTTGATTTGTGCTGCAGAGAGGATTGTTGAAATGTCTGAAATTAAAGATAGGGAAGGTTATTATCTTAAATGGAGATAACTTCTAGAGTTACACAGAACTCTCATAAACTGAATGATGACTCTAAACCCAGGTTAGAGAATTAATTTTCCTCATTAATATTTCAAAATAAATTAATACAATCATATTACTTTACTTTTGTATTTCCCACAAAGCAGGAGAGGACCTATCAGTATCCTAATTTGGTTGGCAGATTCCAGGGTAAGACATATTTGTGAAACCAAGTGTTTTTACCCATATACATATACACAACTGTTCCCTTTGAAAGACTTATTGTGCTTTTTAACACAATATCTCATCTGATTCTCACATAATCTGATGAACTAGAAGGCAAATGTGTCTGTCTTATTTGTCTCCCTTAAGTCTCTAAATCTATAAGTACTTGGCTCAATTATCAAAACCTCATACCTACTTATGTCAGTATTAATGGTGATTAATCTTCATGTCAATGGTGTTAGCACCTCAGTTCCTCATCTCTCCTAAACATATGTACCTTTCCACTCCTCAGTTACCAACCTTTACAACTGTATCTTGAATACATTCTACCCATGCTCTCTAATATTTATACATTATAAAGTCCAATGCCACAACTTCTGTATGTCACTCACTGGAAGAATGGATACAGTAATTGTGGCACATTTACCCAATGGAATAATATGAGGAAATACAGGTAGGAAATCATGAAAGAAAGAAATCACGAAATGTGCAGGCAAATGGATGGAACTAGAAAAGAGCATCCTGAGTAAGGTAACCCAGAAGCAGAAACACACACATGGTAGATACTCACTTATAAATGGATATTAGCCATATAATATAGGATAACTATACTAAAATCTACAGACCTGAAGAAGGTGAGCAAGAAGGACCCTAGGGAGAATGTTTAAATCTCATTCAATGGCATACAGGATAGACACCAGAAGCGGTGGACCAGAACCTGAGTCTACCATAGATGTCCTCTGAAAGGCTCCACCCGACAGGCTATTGAAGCAGATGCACAGACTCATAGTCAAACTTTGGCCAGAGCGCAGAGAGTCTTATGGAAGAAGTGTGGGGGGGAGGCATAGAAGAACCTGGAGGGGACAGGAGCTCCCCAAGTAGACCAACAAAGCCAAAACTATCTGATCCCAGGAAGCCCTGCAGAGACTGATACACCAACCAAGTACCATGCATGAAGAGGACCTGGAACTCCTGCTCAGATGTACTGATAGGCAGCTCAGTCTCCATGTGGGTTCCGGAATAAGGGGAGCATGGGCTATCTCTGACATGAACTCAGTAGCCTGCTCTTTGATCACTTTCCCCTGGCGATGCAGCCTTACCAGGCCACAGAGGAATATGATATAATATAATATATATAATATATGATATATATTATATATAATAATAATTATATATATATAATAGTATATGATGAGACTTGATAAGCTAAGGTCAGATGGCAGGTGAGGAAGTCTCCCCCTTTCAGTGGACTAAGGGAAAGAGATAGGGGGGAAGAGGGAGGGCGGGTGAGTCTATGGAGATGATGGAGGGGGCTACAACAGGGATATAAAATAAATAAATTATAAAAAATAAAAATAAAGTCCAATGCCACTGTCCTATCAATGAAAAAACATTGTACCATCTAAATCACTGACCAATTATACTTGTATTTCTCTCCTACTTAGTTTCCATGATATATTATTATTTTGCATTATTCTCTACATCTATATATAATTATCTAAACAATCATCCAAACTAGATTGGCCTGGCTTTTCATTCAATCCTAAGTGCTTGTTTAGCAGTTTACTGTTCTGGAGAAAAAGCCAGAGCAGTACCAACTCACCTAACATTCAATAAATGACTCTAAACTACTGGCCCTCCTACTCAGATAGTATACTCATAGATTGTTCATTAGTGTAATAAGTTTAATTATGATTAGCTAACCAAGAGAGAACAGATATTTGCTTGTTTGTTTTTAAGTGGCAGACATTTTTCCTCATTATTTTATTATTATTATCATTCATTACAATTTATTCAATTTGTATCCTGGCTGTGGTTCCCTCCTATGTTTCCTCCCACTCCCACTCTCCCTCTTTCTTCTCCTCTCATGCCCCTCTTCAAGTCTACTGATAGGGGCGGTCCTCCTCCCCTTCCATATGACCCTAGCCTATCAGGTCTCATCAAGACTGTCTGCATTGTTTTCCTCTGTGACCTGGTAAGGCTGCACCCCCCTCAGGGGGAGGTAGATGAAGACAGACATTCTTTTAAGTGAATCTTCTTTGGATTAACAGATTTTTTCTTTTTCTACACAAATGTATAATGGACAAATGGTTGTTGTTTGTATAAAATTCCTGATTTAGTTGCATAAAAAATTCATATTACTATTTAATATATTTGCTCCTGAAATACTTTTATATAAAAATATTTTGTTCTCTTTATAATTTATAAACGTCTAATACATATAGTCTTCTAATCTCTTGACATACAGTGTAATCCAGAAATAATAATCACCAATGTGTCAAAGTACCGTAAATGTCTCTGTTGTATGCATATATAAACACACACACATATATATATATATACACCAATTTACTATACATGTACACACATCCACTTGCAGAAGTTTGGCTATAGAAATTTACAGTTACTAACTGAGAGACAGCATGAAAGACAAATTTCATTATGCTGTATGAGTAATTCTGGCTAGTGTTTAAGTAATACTTAGTTTATGCATAATTATTTCCCATATATTGTTTGCCATGAAATTACTGATTCCGTTTCTTCATTTTATATTCCCTCATGTACTCATTATAGTTTCATAGCTCATTACTTTGAAACATGACAGAGATGGGAGACGCCTGTTTTTTGAAGAAGCTATTTATATTAATAACAACTTATAGTAAGAATTGGATTATTTAATGTATTATGTCTTTTATGTTTGTTTGTTTAGTTTATTATGGTGCTAGAGATCAAAGAGAGTTCTTATCAGTGGTTCTAGATGGAGACATGAGCCTCCAATCTATTCCAAAGATTATACTACTGCAGTCCCCCTCATTCTCTCCTGCCTAGAGTAGTTATCTACATATTTTTACTATAAGAGTATGCCCAATTCTCTGACATTAAATTTAAAACTAACTTTCTTTTTATTTTCCTCTTTCTATCACTTCTTCAGATACCAGCCAAAATTTCAACCACATCTATCCTAATACTTGACATTTTTATTCACCCTTTGGAGAATCCAACTGCTCAATGTAGCTTTGTGCAGATCTCTATTCCTGAGGATGCCCATTTTGTCTTTTTAAACTTAATGGTCTTCAAGCTGCTTCCTCAGTCATGTTTATACATTTTCTGAGACTAAACAAAATGATATTATTATTATCTTTAGTATCTCTCTGAAATCTTGTAGTCACATTTTCCTCAGTCTTTTTTTTTTCTAAAATAAACATTTAAAAGCAACAGACCCAAATGATCAAAAAGTAAGCTAATTAGTATTCGGAGATAAACTGGCCAAAGGTAAAGTCAAGTAAAACTAGCTCCTTTTTGTCTCAAATTCCAATTGTATCTAAATCCTTGCATTTTAGTTAGACACAGAACTATTTGCTCTTAATAGTTCCCAAATTACAAACACATTCATACAAATTTTAAAATAGGCATGCCAACCATAATAATTATCAGAATACAAAGAGTTAAAGAGGAATTAGAAAAAATAAAGATCCAGAATTTTCTTTCTTAGCTACTTTCAGAAGTTCCAGGGGCAGAGATTGTGGTTTTTCCTTCACTGCTATATTAAAAAACCATCCTATTTTTATAAAAGACTAGTCAGCAAGAGCTGTCTCTACAGTATACCAAGGTAGTAAAGAATATTTTTGTGTTTACATAAATCACAGAAGCATTTAACACTCTTGTTTCTCTATCTCAAATGATTCAACAGAAAAAAAAGCTCAATAAATGTTCCCTAAGTTTCCTGTCACACGGAAGATACTCCAAATACTTCAATAGAACTCTAAATTCACTTTTAAAAAAGTTTTCGTATCAGCAACGCCTGGCCAACAAATGGGATTATTATTAGATTATAGACTTGTCCCTTTAAGACACTGGTAATTCTAGAAAGTTAGAGTTACCATAGCCTGAAGACTTCAAGACAAATTCCCTTCTAGAGCTGATTGATTCCTAGGATGAGAATTAAAATAGATATGTCTCTGCATACAAAAGTAAGTCGAAAACAAAATAGACCTAACATATATTCCCTAAAGTCTTTGCCTGCAATAATATCTCTCCTTACCGTTAAAGCCCAAGAGCTCTCTCTCCTTCACAGTGGTCACTGTGTGTTCCTCTCTTTATGTATTTGGGGCTGGAGAGATGGCTTATGGTCATGAGTACTTGTTATAGTTGTGTGGAGGTTCTGGGTTCGATATCCGGAACCCACATGGTGGCTCACAACCATCTGTAACTACAGTTCCAGGGAGTCCAACACATTCTTCTGACTTCTGTGGGCACCTGGCATGCACAGAGTGCACACACACACACACACACACACACACACACACACACACACACACAC